AAAATAAATAAAAAACGTTGAAAAAAAAATAAGAGAAATGCTGTGCTTCTGTCAAGCATTTTTAGAAGAGCTTATATGCATGGCCTAGCCGACTTCATGAATCAAAAGTGGCTCAGAAAGGTGGGCCTGGATTACGCAACGAGCCAAAAAGGCTCTATTCATATACTGAGGACTCGCCATCAAAAGGAGAGTAGATACATTTTTCGTCCCGTGGCCAGTATTGAGAGGTCCAGTTTTATCAGCTTGTCAGTGTACATAATCATGAACTAGGGGTAAGAAAGGGGGCCTCATTTCAGCCTGTTCATGTGGCATGGGGTGGCTGCTCTTCCAAGCATGTCCCTCTCTGGTACCCTGGCTCTAGTTCTGGCCAACCTTGTAACTACCCCCACCCCCCCACCCCCAAGGAAGCTTAGACATTCCAGAATGCACTGAGCACAACACTACCCCTAATCCCACATACATGGAAATTGTCTCTGCCTCTTGCTTCGGAAGTGTCCGTTCACTTCACTTACATAAGCACTGGGCAGATTTGCACCCAAGGCGTAAAGGGGCAGTCTTCTTCCCTTTTTCAAATGTTCCCTGGCAGAAAGAGAGCATTTGGGGAAAAAATTAGGCAAAAGTAATATGCAAGGCTTAACATGGAGCCATTCTGGATACCCAAGGGATAAACAATCACATTTCAAGTCCTAGCCAGGCCAGCAGCTGCAAGAAGTTGATAAGGATGCTGCCGATAGGGCTGCGGAGCTGGGGGAAACACACATTAAAGCCTCTGAAAGGTTCGATTTTTAAAAAGAAGAAAAAGAAAAGGAAGCGCCTCCCTCTGCTTTTTACCGTCCCTCTAGTTGCTTTTGCATATTCTGTGCCATTTAAAGAATTACAGATGGGTTCTGCCTAATGCCGTATGGCTGCTGTGGCTTTAATCATTCTGTCATTCTCACTTTGCAGAAGGGCTGAACTGGGGGGGGCGCCCGGCCCCACAAACATCCCAGCATTCCAGGTGTGCAGGGCACAGAGGCTGGTGTGCCGGTGCCGCTCTGTCCTCCATCCTGGAAAATGCTTGCTGACGATTTCCCGGGTCAGGACAGCAGCACATCGTTTGGGAGAGATGGTGTGGTCTTGCTGCAGAGGCCCTCTGCCTCTGTTCCTGCTGTTCCTTCTCCCCTTCTCCTCCAGTTTCCTCCCACACCATCCTGGCCCACCCCGCTGAAAAGGAAAGCTAGGCTCACAAGTTCCATTCCGAAACCACCTCTGGGGACTCTGGGTGTATTGTGTGTTGCACGGATCTAGAGGCCGCGTAGCCTTTTACGATACTTCTCAGCAGATGACAGTCAAGTGTCGAGAAAGCGTTGTTGTTTTTTTTGTTTTTTTTTTAAGTCATCGTTTGTACAAAGGCACGCTTTAGGCTGTGGGGCAGGATGTGGCGGTGAAGGCTGCAATTCTTGACCCTGGAGCCCAGCAGGCCAAAGTCAGGAGCAGAACTCCAGACCCCCCAGGGCACAGTGTCACAGAGCAAGAGAGGCTGTTAAGGGGTGGGAGGGGTGGGGGTGGGGGTGGGGAGAAAGAAGGACCGTGTACTCCAGTAACTGTAAACAGCCATATTTTCAACATAATTTACTACAGGTCTCTGAAGTGTATATAAAACATTTTAGTGCAACATTTTACAAATAGTTTTCCTTTAAAAAAAACAAACAAAAACAAATCAACAGCTCTCTACATCATGCATGGGTAGTTTTCTTACCCCACCTGTTTTTTTTTTTCAACAATAAACGCAGAGAAACCATTGTTTGAAAAGAATATGAAAACCTGCTACAGAAACACCCTGATGAAAGAGGGTGCGGGTCGTATCGGTGTCCGGAATGGGCCTAGCACAGTGTAGTTTTTCATTAATGCAACATTGTAGCCGTAGGTAAATACGTCCAGAGAACCAGTTGGCAATTTTTCCTCTCCTGGTCCCAATGCCCCGAGCTCCGGCAGGCCATGTGCAATGAGGTCTCCCAGCCACTGGAGGGCACCATTACCGCTCATCTGACACCACACACATTTCCATAGAAATGGCCAAACAAGGTCCTGGGGATCTTCACAGAAAGCTGAAAAGCTCACCCTTTGATGGTATCCCCCAGCCCAACAGAAAATACACACGGGAAAAAAAAATTACTAAAATACTGGCTTCGGTTTCTTTTCTTCCTTTCAAATTTCCTGTAACCGCTCCACATCTTTAATTGCGCGCATCACCTACTTTTCTATACCTGTGGGCAAGCTGGGCTCTTAGTAGTTACACAGCCAGTCCCAGCCCTCCGGCATCTTTCCCTTCACACAGAGGAAAGCCGGGCATCTTCCCTCAAGCACTCAGGCTACAGGGCAGGGGCCGATTTCCCACAGAAAGCCCACGCGCCTGTAATGAAGAAATGGGGCAAAGGACCGCCTCCTTCCCTCACCTGTCAGCCTGACTGTAGCCCCATAGCGTTGCTGCAGC